GCTCCCCATCCCTGTCTCCCAGGTCAGGGGGCTGGGTAGCCTGAGAACAACTGGTATTGCCATTAAAGACTGAGTTAAAGAAGGCATTAAGTACCTCAGCCTGGTCTTCAATCCTTTGTCAATCACTTTGTCACCATCCAATAAAGGATGGAGATCCCCCATATTCCTCCTTTTGTTGTGAATGTATTTACAGAAACATTTTTTTAGTGTCTTTTACTGCAGTAGCCAGATGTAGTTCTAGCTCACCCTTGAGCCCTTTCTAGTTTTCTCTGTTCTAACTTCACGACATCCTTGCAATCCTCTTGAGCTGCCTGTACCTTTTTCCAAAGGTCATAAACTCTCTTTTTTTCACCAACTTCCAGCCAAAGGTCTCTGTTCAGCCAGGCCAGTCTTCTTCCTTCTGGCTCATCTTTTAGCACATAGGGCAGCCAGAACCTCTGGCACATGGAAGGCTGCTACACTTCAGTGCAACGCTTCAAGCAACAGGCCACAGCCCATGCCATTGCACTGAAGCTTCATGCTGTGGGCCCAGCTGAGATCTTGTTCCTTGGAAAGAAAAACCCACCTGAGAAGGCAAGCCAGCCCCTTTGCCAACTGCCACCTTGCACCGAGCTGCAAAGACGGCGTCAGTGTTCGTGGGGGTTCCCCGTTGTCCCAACTGCACTAACACCATTCTGAGACAGCCTCCAGCCATCACATCACCCACAATCCCTCCTCTGTTCACAAACAATAGGCCCAGTGGGGCACCTTCCCCAGTTGGCTCTCTCACCAGCTGTGTCAGGAGGCTATGTTCCACACACTCCAGGAACCTCCCACTCTGTTTCCTCCCCGCTGTATTCCCAGCGGACATCTGGCAAGTTGAAGTCCCCCAAGAGAACCAGGAATAGTGATCATGAGACTTCTCCCAGCTGCTCATAGAACATTTCATCTGCCTCTTCATCCTGGTTGGGTGCTCTGTAACAGACTCCCACCATGATATCTGCCTTGCTGGCCTTTCCTCTGACTCTTACCCATAAACACTTGACCTTTTCATCACAGTGTCAAGCTCTAGACAGTCAAAACACTCCCCGACATACAGGGCTAGCCCACCACCTCTCCTTCCCTGCCTATCCCTTCTGAAGAGTTTATAGTCACCCATTGCAGCATTCACATTCCATGTTCTTGAATGCTCCAGAAAGACCTAGAAGGCTCAGCCATCTATTAACTAAAAAAAAGATACAAGCTCGTATTTTCAGCACTGTATTTTCCGATCATTGTCATGAACTTATGGTGATTTTCCAAAGCCTGGAATAAAAAGTAGTTAGAGCAGTCCAGGATTTACAAATCCTCAGCAACTCTCAAATTCTCAAGCTTTTTCAGAAGGAAGCAAAAGGCAGTTTAGGGATCAGCATAAAAAAAGATCAGGTACAATGATGACAACTCACTGCATCCTTGCTTCCTTACAATTCATTCCGTCCATCAAGTACTTTAAGTTTTCATGAAATCATATTTCATTATCAAAGGCCATGTACCAATGACTTCCTTCTTCCAAGCTCAGATCACTGAGGTAGAGATCTGCAGTGTACAAAACACCTTTCTAAAAATTATATACTAGTCTCTGCCACATATATGACAGTAGCCTAACCATGAAATCTTTACAAGCAGTTTCTTCGTGTTCTGTATATTTGGTTATCCATTTCAGAACCTAACGGTTCCCTAAACACTCAGGGCTAGCTAAACACTCAAGTGCTCTTCAGTACACAAGAATATAGAAGTGTAGTCTGAAAAAAATAACTTGCATCTCAAACTAGTCAATGAAGTCAAATAGTACTTTTAGATTCAGTAGTCTTTAATGACAACAGGATAATATTTCAGAGGCAAGTTGTGCGAAGACATAAATAAGTATCTTCAATACCCCATATTATAGTATGTGTCACCACAGGAAGCACCACAAATATTCAGTAATGCTGTATTTTGAGTAAGGTTTAAACAGATGTGGTAATAAGATATGGAACAGCCTATCTTAGAAGAGTAAAAATTGAGCATCTGAGAACTGAATACATGCTTACAACTATACTACCTCAGTTACTATCAGTTACCCTGAAAACTTAGAGGAAGCTGTCTTTTGAAAATATACTATTCCATTTGCTAAGAGAATCAATGAAGCTGTACAGGGGCTTAATTCTGACAAACGTTTCGGCCATCTTCCTGTTTGAAATATCCTTCAAAAAAGCTATTAAAAGCTACTAACAAGCTACTGAAAAATATATCTGGGTGTTAAAATTCACAGTCTCAAAAAGACGTTCCAAGGAAAACCTCAGACTGAGTAAAAAAAAAGCATGAAAAAAATTTTACTTGCAATAGTTGCAATAGCTGTGACTGAACAACTAACTATAAGTCTTGCCTCCTCTACCTGGCAAAAGACACATTTATTGCATATGTCACAGTATCTGCAACGGCTTTTATGCTAGGTGGTACAGACAGCACAGACTTTAATCCACAGAGACCCTGAGTAGACTGGCTAGTTACAAACATGAGCATTGAAGTCTCTTCACTCTATTGTTATCATTAGGTGTATTAAAGCATATAACAATAAAATCTGTTAACTAAGCAAACACAACTGTAACTACAATGTTGAGGTAGCATTGAGTAACATGCTTTCAAATTTCTTGCTGTTCAAAAAGATTAAAACTGTTCAGCAATTCTTAAAAAGAAAAAAACAAGTTTCCATTACTTCATCCAAGACTGTAGGAAAGGGGGATAAAAAGGCAATTTTTAAAAAACTATCTTTATTTTTTTGTCTTACATTTAAACAGGGATGTATTTCATTTTTAGACATCCAGACTACGTTGACTTCACTAGTTTTGACAGGAAAAATAAGTATATAAATGCAACTCACGCTGCGATAACCTGAACATACCTGCACTAGTACTGACCGCTTTGCTTTGCTAGAAAAAAACCTTCTTCAGCGTTAAAATCAAGCACTGAAAAAAATACTGCTGAAAAGCAAGTGACTAGATACTGGTCATTTCAGTAAATAAACAGCTTTTATATACTCAAATATTTAAAATCCATAACATGTACATCTTCTTGTTATGTGTATGGAGTTTGGATCATACAAACACTGTACAGATCAAAAATCTCTGAGAATAAAACTAACCAGGTGTGAGACATACACATACCACATGTACTTCCTTAAACCTTACAAAGTCAAGTACTACAAAAAAATTATGTGTTTTCACATAAGAATGGTCAAGTAATCTACCTTTTCAGCTCAAATAAAAACAAAGAAGTAACTTTACGAGTTTGAGATAACCAGTAACACAAACCGGTGGAGTGGAAACTTATGACCTGTTATACAGTATGTTTTTGTAGGCCAAGTTCAGGTCTTTTAAAACAAAAACTTAAGATCATGAACAGTAATAATGACAAAGATCAAAGTATACATACAAGCACATAATCCAAACAATAAAGTACACTTTTGGCTGTTAAGGAAAAATAAATTACAAAATACAATTAACATCCTTGTAAATGCAATAATGAATTTAAAGGTGTGCATTCATTTTGTATACTTTTTAAATGTTGTCACAAAACAGATCAAAAATAAATAAGTATGCCAAAACGCATTTATGGATAGAAAAAAATGCTCAGAAGTTCTAGAAGAATTATAAAAAATGGAGATAATCTGAGTTTTGGTCAACAAATCTGTCTAGTCGCTTCCATCTTTCACACCCCTTCTTCAATAACTGGCAGCTAAACATGACAAAAATCACACCTCTGTCATTATGGCTTTAAAAAAGCATATATTTTCTGAACGAAGTATAAAATGGGATGCCTTGTCTACAGAACTGCTGGTTTGTCCATATTGCAGGCACTTCATGGGACTGTGGGGGAAGTACCTGACACATCCCTACCATCCTACTATAGTAGTGACATTACACTGAAAGACAAGAAGTTGCCCCGAAAAATAATCTCAGGAAATACTGGGTGAAATGAGCTAGTATGCAGAGAAGGGAGACGCCTAACTCACTTCCATTGCATTTGTTTTCTAAATTAAAGAGTAAAATAATTTACAAACAGATGTCTAACATGACATGGCACATCCATATTTCCATGTTAAAGATGCTGTCACTCATCAATTACCTTAGTGAACATACAGGCTTTAATACTGATTCCTTTTTAAAGAGATTCACATTTATATCTTTTTTTATAATTTCTCTGTAGATCTCTTCTGAAAGTATTTCAATCTTACTAACCTGACTGGAAGCACAACTTAAATTGTACAAACTTCTGTATTCCTTGTCACTCTTGTCATTTCCATTGTAGGCATAACAAAAGCAGATTTTCAAACCCAGAGGCTACTGGAAATACATTCTGTTCATTAGTATCACCAGTATTTAGACCACTGTCAACAGTAAAATCAGCCTTCTCAGTATCTCTAGACAGTGACTGTACCACAATATCACAGACAGGGTTTGATGCTGATACAATCTGACTATGGTATCACCAGCGATACCAGCAGAAAAGAAAAAAAATGCAGGTGTCAGAATAGAAATCTTCAGATTTTTTTTGTTTTTTCTATATGGTTGTGTATTTGCATTTTTGATGAAAACTGCTTTTGGTATGCTGCTACAAACTCAACAGATTTATGGCATCTGCTGTCAGCTAAGACACTGCTAGTACATCCTAGGACAGCAGAATCACTTTTCCAGTTTAGTTTTGCTGAAGATACTGTTCATTTGTACCATTTCCTTGGTCCATTTGCTGATAGTCAAAGAAGCACTCATATTTGACAAAACCTTAAAGCTTTTAGAACAGATGAATTAAAGAAACCAGAGATGGATGCAGGAGAACCAAGTCAAAGCACACAAGCGTGACGCTGTTTCTAAAGGAGTCCTTGGAAAACGTGTGGTCATTACGGAGGTTGGTGGGGATTTTTTTTGATGGGGTTTCTTTTTTTTAAAGATCACAAGACAGCAGTTGAACAAATACGCAATTTCCCATGTTCTGTTTGGTTCTAGTCATTTGTGGCGCTGAATGGTTTTCTTTTTCCTCCGCTTGAATAAACAGCAGCACCTGCAGGTGTGACAGGAATGACATACGATATAAAAAAAAAACCACAGAACTAAACTGTTTACTGTATTTGTTTCACTTGGAAGTATGAAGTTCAGGTTCAGCCTGCTCCAAGGAACACATTAAGCTCTACTGCAGGTGATTGATTTATTAGTGACACATTTCACCTTTTTTTGGAAAAAAGTATCAAATGAAAAAAGCTATAATAAAAATAGCTATTAAATATAGAGTATTGTGTGAGGGTATCAAAAGCACGGGCATTATCAGCTGACTTAACAATCTATTTCTAAGAATAAGGAATGTTCCATTACCTGAGTACTCCTTCACATCGACTGGTAATATGCCATATAGAAGCTTGAGCTTAAGATTGCGTCACCTGAACTGTCCACTTAAGACAGTAGTGTTGACACTAGTCAAACATTTTGAGCTTCCTTTGTCAACTAGAACTTAGGAAAAACCTTCCCCAAGACTATTGCCAAAAACATTTTAGAAGAAAATGTTAATGAACAATATAATTAATGTTCTGATTCAGTGCTGCGGTGATAGTACTATGAAGGAAACTAAAATTGGCTAACACTGCGGATTTAACTTAGGAAATAAAAGATAATCTGAAAGTAACTGAAAACAACTACTTTTTCCTGAAAAGGAAAAAGAATTGGAGGGAGTTAGAAGCAGATAACACAGAGGAGGACTGCAGAAGTCCAGGAAGTATTTTTGAAAATAAACTAAACAGGAAAGCAACAAATATACAACTAAAATATACAAATATACAAAGAAAACTTTTGCATGTAACATTAGCCTTGACCACCACCTTTAAACATAAAGCTTCCACTTAGTAAAGTATTCACAATTTGCAGCCAAAAGTGAATATGCAAGCTGTCTGCCTTAACAGAGATTGCTCCATGGAGTTCTGCAGTTTGTTTACTGAATTCTCACTTGCAGTGCTATATACTCAAGAGTCTGTCTTAAACTACGTAAGTGCAACAGAAGTGAAAATGTAAACATACTGTATCAATAGTCTATCAATAAGTCCTTAAGTTCACCAAGCATTTTATGTCACTAAAATTCAAAAGAAATCCTGCTGATTTAGTTTGGAACACGGGAAATGGGGAACGCATTTGAAAGACAGGGAGAATAAGGGTCTAAAAATAAGGTTCTACAGGGGGTCAGAACAACATCCAACGTAAGGTGAGACAGAAGTTACCTTCTCAAAATATCCAAGGGCACCCTGTCGCTCAGTCACTGAAAAAGTAGCAGTGGGCAGAGGCAGACCAGAGCTGCTCTGAGAGTTACATAACTTTCAGTAGAAAAAAATATTGGTTATTGCTGGAGAGGAAGCCCAAAATTAAAACTCCATAGGGGAAACTACACAGACAAATATTTTTACAGCTAGAAGAAACATTATACCATATTTATTAACTTCAAAGTACTTCTAAAAGAGACTTCATTGTTTTTGAAGGCTAGTAGCCACCAACTACAACTGAAATTCCCCCACAACTCCTAACCCTTTGCCTTAGCATCTGTCTACAACCACTAACATCGATTACCACTTAAGCTTTGAATTTATATGTAGATGTATGGAGTCCAATCTAGTTTAATCTTTCTTTCACTCCAATCTTTTCCCAAATATTCCATATAAGTATATACAACAATCCTCATATCAAAACAAGCCATTTTACACTGCTCCCTCCCTTTCAACATGAATCACCCTATGATCCTCTACATGAGGAAAACCTACCCTGGACAGTGATGGTAAATCACTTTTGTACCTGGTTTCAGATTAGGAGGCCTCAAATAAAGCTTACAGAAAAATTTCGTCTTGATTCGTAATTTTAGTATATACAGAACACAGGTTACATAAGTAACTGAAGGAAGATGAAAGTGTGGTAGACAGTTAATGTATATTCTAGAAAAACAGTGTAGAATTTTAACTCTTCTCTGTTTAACTACATTTTGCTTATATGGAGCATGTCTTGAGGAACAGCAGATCACACTTCCTAAGACTGCTTCGATCCTCTGTGTAATTCAAGAACAGCTGAGGTTTTCTTGCCTTCCTTCTCAGAAAATTTTAACCCATCCTTGCTGCAAATCTCATACTGTCCTTTATTCCTTCTCCATAGCCTATTTAGTTTGATACTTCTCTGTCAACCAGGGAAGAATGGGGAATTCAAGAGTTCTACCTTTAACCAAGACAAAGCACTGCTTTTTAATCTCCTAGTCTTCTGGAGTTTGCATAATACTATTACAAAGTGTATAACTTCTATTAACAGTTTTGGTTTTTTTTTAATTATAAGAACTACTGCACTGTACTGGTGTGGGAAAATAAACCCTTATTAATATATAATATATGAAAAAAGTGTTAAAGGAAAGCAAATTTCATAGACCATTGTAAACCACAGGAGTGGCTTGGAAACTTACTGAAATGTATGTTTATCAGCCTAAAAGTGCTAGACCTGTCAAACCTTCCAAGGCCAAATAAATGTCATATCAAAATATATGCACATTTACATGGGAATAAGACAGGTCAGACAACATTGCCTGATAATAAAGTTTATGAAGGAAATGTAACCCTCAGATTAGAGATCCACAGTGCATCATCTCTTCAAGAGTATAATTTATAATGGAAATGTAGACATGTTCCTAAGAATACTATCACTAGAGGGTGTCATTATCACTTTTATATCTATTACATTGATTGAAGCTATATTTAAAGCTACAGATAGAGACATTATTAATTAATATTAAACCACAAATTTGTCATATTATTCAATATGCATACAAAATGCATAAGAATAGTTATGCTTTGAAAATGTCTAATTCTAGGAAAGGAACGGTTTTTCGTTTTAAAGAAAGCATTTAATGATCGCTAACCTGTTTCTCTGCATATATAAAACATTTCTACAGTGGGCAGTATAATATGGATTTATGAAACTCAAGAAACAACTTTTCCTGTACAATCTAAAGTGACCTTTGAGATGTTATTTAAGGTAGCAAACTCAGTATTATTGTTATAAACATTTCTTGTCCTACTTAAAACATCATACCTTTTTTCTGTTAATTACCCTTCCCTATGCCACTTGAGTAGTCCCTTGGCACAACATGCTACAGCAACTTCAGTTCTTATTTGTGTTTAGATAACTGTGTTCATATATTTATTTGTCACCTAGGACATGACAGCACTTTACTGCAGGATTATTAACAGGTGTTTAAAGTGGCACAAAGAATGCAAGACGCAAAAAGGACAATATCATATAATCTTTTCCTGTTTGGCCTTCTCTGTCCTCCCACAGTAGAGCCTTCTGGTTATCCAAATTGCACATGCTTCATAGAAGCAACTGTTCTGATGGCTAGCAAAAGAGTTAAGGAAAGAAAGGCTAATTCCTCAGTCGTAACTGAAGACCATCTGTAGATGAGAAGATCTGCAAGTGCCAGGGCAGAACAGTGATCTGGTTAGTTTTCTCCCTGCTTTACAACTCCAGTAAGTAACAAATGAAATAGGGCTGAAAACTACTTTTCTAAAACAAAACAAATGAAAGACCCATAAAAAAAAAAACCCAAAACCCAACACCCACTGCTAAGTCATGCTAGTTTCACATGCTTGCTGCACAGCAACACCTGAGAAATATGAAGATGACAAGGCACAAGATTTAGAACATATACTGTACGTGAGTATATAAACATACATCAAACAATGGAAGTGTTGGATGAATGTCCCAAAACAATAAAATGCTTACTGAAAAAAATCCTTATCCTTTCTATTTTACAGCTTCTTACTTAAATAGTAACAGCAGATCTAATATTCAGCTAAACAATATTTGTGTTCACATATGATAGGGCACCCTTTCTTCAAACTTTTAAACAGAGATATGCTAAGCTTCTAAATCTATGAAGACATCTAGAACAAAGAATGAAGTGTTTCTAAAAAATATTCAAGTTTGTCTACTCAGAGTACAAAGAAATGTTACAAAGAGAAGGTATCAGCAAGAGGGGTTAACTTTGCTCATATTTGCAGATGGAGAAAAGATTATGAAAGATACACAAAGTGAGAGAGTCTTTTGATAAAACAATGTCTCCCTAAAAACAAAACCATCTGTATTACAGATATGAAACATACTGATACTTGCATTTCCTTACACTCTTCAGCAGGGTAAAACCTATGAATTGATGCTTAAAGGTCTTGCTGTACCTTTTGATATTAAGCTTGGCTAAAACGTAACATTACCTAAACCTTCCAAAGTATTGTTACTGAGAAAAACATGTACAACTATACACTGATGACTGATAACAATGCTGGGGAGAGGGTAGGGGGAGCACTCGTGCATTGCTTTAAGTACTGACAAAACATAAAACAACTTCTACACCCAAAAAAATAGTCAATGAGGAAACTGCAGTTTAAATAGACACCACTGGAAAACTAATATTGAAAAAGAAGATTAATCTAAAGAGTAGGATATTGAGACTAGATATTTTATCTGTAACAAAACCAATAAAGACTAGGCCAAAAAAGGTCAAGGATAGCGTATTTGTCCATCAATTATTCATATCAGAGGAAATGAACTTCTACACTTTTAAAGCAACTGCAGCATCCTGGCTTCTGAGAATTCTCTTACTTTCTGTAGGTAACTAAGCATAGGTTTAATTGTGCTAAACACTACCTAAAACTTTAGAAATTTAATATTTTCTTGTGTGTACATAAACTCGGAATAAGGAAGGTTATCACTGAATTTATCCAGAGAGACAGGATAGGAAATTTCTCTATGTGCAGCCTATCGACATCTCTGTTTTTTGGGGTCTTTTTTTGTTTTAAATATATATTAAAAAACATGAATTCTTGCCAGAAAAGTAATAATACATCTGCAAATATGACAGACAAAGAACTCATCTTCTTAGTGCCCACACCAAGCTAGTGCACAAGTGTGACACAACAGGTATCCCCATTCACAGTTTTTAACTACACATGCACATAAATCTTACATATCAAAACCATAACCTGCAGAACAACCACTTGAAGAAAAACTTGTACTTTAAGAAATTTCCCCTTATCTAGAAGTTAGGAAAACGGGCCCTACAAAGCTTATTGCTATTAAAGAATACATCATGGATTTTTCTGCTACTAATGTATCCTTCATACTTGCGTGCCTCTGTTTTATGATAAACTAGATCCATAACCTTGTAAAATCCCATTCCAAGCACAATGATAAAAGAAAACACGTTGAAAGTTATACTGCTTTTAGCTTTCAATAATATTTTTTCTGTACTATTTCGCAAGACTGACTTTACAACTCAAATATACATACATTACTTGTCCATCTCATGTTAACAGATCTTAATATTTTCCCCTTTCATTACACTGTAACTTTAAGGAACCTTGAAGTTATGTTTTAGTAATCAGTTAGCAGATTGTCAAAGACTAATACTCTGGTAAATACCATGTTTACAGAGATAATGGGCAAAGTTCAAACATTTGCTAGCATTTATTATGTCTTCATATGAGTGAGTTATTCTCTAGATGTTAAAATACTAGCTGAATGCTACATCTGAAAATAATGTTTTCCCCTCTAAAACAGGACAGCAAGTAAGAAAAAAATATTCTACTACCCACTAAAAAGGATTAAATAAAGTACACCGCAGGCTATACAACTTAAAAGCAAGCAAGATTTGAAGCAGGCGAAACAGCTCCTGACGGTGCCTGTTTGTAAAAACAGTTAATTCTTTCACAATATTAAAACATGTTTTGTGATTTCCAAATGGACTTGTTATTTTAAAGTTCTCTGAAAGTAGTTTTAAACCAAATAAGTACAAAGCCCCTGGGGCTATTTCTGCCTGCCTGTGCTGTAGAACTCACCACATGTTCAACACTTTCTGGCAGCTATACAGAAAGAGAGTATAAAAAGAAAAAAGAGAATCAGAACACCACACAGAGGAAGAATTTCACATCTTTCATACATAACTTTTGGTAGTCAGAACACTATCTTGAAATAAATATTTCAAAGTCAGCTGAAATATCAAGAATGCATGCACTTCTCTAGTATAGAGGGATGTATTATTGAAGGTTTAGTCTAAAAAGCACAAGCTATAGCAAGTCTACTATTTAAATATTTGTTGCTAAAATTAAGTATAGCACTACAGCTTTTGCCCCTCACCAGCGGCTGATCATTTTAGACAATATTTCTTAAATAACTATACAAAAATAATTTTGAAATAGCTGAGCATGCAAGATCCAGAGAATATAAAAAGATTGACATACTTAGTTTCATCCATTACTTCCACTTCTGCAGGAGCTGTGATGGGTGCATTTGAACGGCCTGCAGTTGGGTCATCTGTGTTCAGTTCTCCATTTGTTGAGCTTACTACCTGAAATCACCAGAAATACCTGAAATTATGCTAGTGCCAGACATACATTTGTCAATTCCTAAAGTTACAATACATCTTAAAAATCAGTAATTTGTGTTAATTCCATAATTCTTTTTATTCCAGTAACAGTATCTTTTTCAGGTTTTATTCCTGCCTCCCTGTGCTCCTGCCATTTTTCTTTCACATCTACTAGTGGAACTGACACCTACATGACAGACTCAAAGTGAATGGACTAAGTAAAGCAATTGGGTAGATTAGGTTCGCTGACGTCCCTCCTGTCTCTTCAGAGCCTTAAGGGAAGGCACTAACCCCTTTCCTGGTACCAGTTCAGTAAGTCTTACCCTATGTGTCCTTCTTTAGTGTATTTAAACTCATTAGTTGCCTTCTTTGTGTGGTCCAATTCAGTTGTATCTCATCGAGTAGTCACCAGAAGAGGGGAAAACCAAGGCATTTTCTAAACCTAAGAGTGCAGGTGGTGTTCGGTTTTCACTCTTAGTGCACCAGAGCATTTACTGCCATTAAAAAAAAATAAAAATTGATTCATCTTCATTCCCATTAATTTACTCTCAAATTCCTTTGCAAATTCTTGAGCAACAAGACTGCTCTGGTTCTCTAGTAATGTTTGTTTTGACTTTAAACCAAATGAAACCGAATAGTCTCTCAGTTCCTGCCAGCCTTCCTGCATGACAAATGGAGCTGTTCCAGAAGCCTCTCCTTTATTCACCTTACAGCATCCACCATGAAGATGGTTCATGGGATATCGTCAGTGTGTCTGATCAGGGCAGCTGACATTGCTAGCTAACCCATTAAAGTACCAAGACGTCTACTAGCTACAAAGTAGCAGAAAATGCTGGGCCAAGTAACATTGCACAAAAATACTGTTCTGACCAAAAAACACTAGAGCCTGCAGAAAACGTGTAAAACCCACAGGAAAGGGGACCAGCAGTACTTTATAGTTCAAGATTCTTCCAGCTGTTGCCTGAAGGTCAGAGATTAAGGTAGAAGAAAGCAGAAGGAAGGAAAGTCATCATCATAATGCTACTATTCCCCTCAAGCTGTCCTCTTAATGTAACAGTTATGTCTCATCTATTTATAACCAGAACTAATAGCCTTGCCTATTGAAGTTTGCTTTGTGGTTCATATTGCAAGGGGACCTTCTAAATGCTTACAAATATCTCAAGGGTGGGTGTCAGGAGGATGGGGCCAAACTCTTTTCAGTGGTG